AATGGTATAGACCAGGCTCTTCTCGTATGCTCGATACAACGACAATCATTAAAAACAAGTGATCAAGATATAAAGATTGTCTTACAACTACACGAAAATGTATCTATGTACGAGTATGTCAGCTTTTCTGGCTGGCGACATGGTAGAAGAGACGCTCCCAAAAAACTTCGTCATGAAAATAACGTAGGTAGGGAAAGGGGGGACAGATGACGATAGTAAGCTTATTATACGTTTTCCTCAATGCAATTTCAATTTGGTATCTTGTGTTTAATTTTAACATTAAGTTGAAACATTAAGAAATAAAGAGAATTATTAAATACTTAAATATTTTAAGATTTTCTATTTAATTTTTTACCTTAAAAATTGGATGTCAAGTTCGTCATCTTGCCATGTAGGTGGATAAGATCACAATATTGGGTGGGTAAGATGACGAAAAAAAAAACTATATTTAAAAATTAATTACATTTTTATTAAACTTGACAAAAGTCACAAACATATGCATTACGCTTTGCCTCTGATGCTCTAAGACCAGTACAGGCGGCATGCACCCATTTACAAAAAGAGGAGCAGGCATACCAAAGTTCAGCTTTGCCTGATTCACTGCAAATTAAACTTCTGTATCTCCGACGTAATCGATGTCATCATCACTTTCCATCTATTGATATGGAGGAATCTGAAGACACACTGTCATTATCAAACTTTATTTGTCTAACATGTTTCTGCTGTTTTTTTATTTTATGTGGCCATCTTTTTCGGTTTATTAGCATTTTTTCTAGCGTTTCCAGCTTTTCTTTTCTGACTTTCTTTTTTCTTCTCCTCTTTAATTTTTTTCTCAGCTTCTTTACTTTCCAAGGCATCCTTAACAGGAGTACTAGTTATATACAATGACGGCTATTTAGTTCTTGGTTTTTTCGTCGTGGGAATAGCAACAGGGAGTTGAGGCAAGCCAAATAATGTTTTAGAAGGTCCAGCTGTAGGTTCGAGGGTAGCAAGTGAACTTTTTTTAGATGGTCCTGCTATAACTTCAGAGTTGCCAAGTACTAAAGAAGCATCAGTATCACTTGGGTTTATTTCAGTAGTAGCTGTAGTTTGTATTGACATATCATTGTCAGAAGAGGGGTTTTCTCTATTAAGATGCTTTGACACTTCGAATGGTTTATCTGTTGTCATTGAAGGCTCATAGTCAGAATCATCAAAAATTTGAGAATTTAGTGGAACTAAACCAGTTGCTTTAAAACCTTGAACAGTATTTTTTATTGTGGAAACCTTATTGTAAGCCACACTAAAAATCCCTGCCACATCTTTAATTGTAATGACTTGACCTGGATGTTGCATTAAATAATCATTGCATGCCCGGCTATAAGCGGTTTTAAAGAGTCAGTAAAAAGACACATCCAACGGTTGTACGATGACTTGTATGAGGAGGAAAACATCAATAAAGTTTTTTCGACATAAAGTTACTGCCGGTAAAGTTACGTGCGACGAATGGTTGTCCATTAAAAGTAAAATTGGATTGTCCTTGGAAGGCCTTACATTTTTTATAAAATGTAGTAACCACAAAAGAAAGGTGTCCGCGTTCATCCACGATGATTCATTACATACGCCTGAAGATCCCGTAGGTGCACCATTTAAGAAATGCTGTTGCATTCTTACTCTCGAGAAAATAAAGAATGGAGGAATATATTGGCACACAGCACTAAAACAACATGCCACACTGACATTTGAGCCCTTTTCGGCAGAAGACACTTTTATGACTCTACGGGTTCCAATTGGACTTAGCACGCTTGGAGTTTTAGTGGGCACAATAGGACAGCCGGTCTCATCGATATTAAAGATTTGATGAGGAGCGTAATTTGTTTTGGCCAACACTTCTTGATATAAAGTAAAAAATGCTTCGACATTTGTTCTGTTAAAAGCTTGCAATCTTGCTGCGGAAGTAGTTTCTCAATGAAAACTCGTCATCTTATCCGCTTGGAAGATTCGTCAACATACCCGACACAAACATTTTATATAAATTTAACAATAAACAAAAACCCACATGTATTTTAAGAAAACTTAATAGACATTGCACATACAATAATTAAACCTTTATGAAAATACTTACTGCGAAGAAAAAATCCCTAATTCACAACCACAAAATCTTATTTAGTCGACCACGATTTTTACAACGACATATACACAATACATAAATGTCATTAGCGTACCGCATACATAAGACTGAATGCAGGTTTCATAGACTAGAGAGTAAAAAGTGATGCTAATGCGTCACATATTTCACGTACGTGGCGCTATCTAGTAAGAGTTTCACCTCTGATGTCGAATCAACGTCACAATATCGAGAGGTGAAAACATTGGTGTACAGCCTTTTGAACTGGATAAAGAATTTCAGCTTGTAAAATTTAGTCCACCAGATACTGTCAATGACGCAAGACAACTTATCCAATACGTTTTGGAAGATAATCTGAAAAAAGTACATCCATATGCTTACAGAACAATCAAACACATGCTCACAGTTCCAGTCAGTACAGCCTCTATCGAAACAAGATTCCCAAAGCTAAAGTTGATTAGGACGTATTTGAGAAACACGGTGAGATAAAAGCGATTATCTGCTCTACCAATGCTATCAATTGAAGTAGAAATAGCGTTTGGTGTTAGTTATGAGACAATCATAAAACAATAGTTAGGCTTAAAGCCAAAAAGTTCGTCTGTTTTAATTGGTGTTTGTAATGTTTGTCGATTCATAAAAGGGGTATCGTAAAACTGATGTCGCCGACGGCCATATATGGTCTACCGTTACAACTGATTGTAGTCAAGCCTAACAGTAAAATGTAAGCATCGGAATCGGATAGCACAAAAGTAGATGAGATCTAACTGATTTTAACTACAAACTACAAAGTTGGGCTGCAACGTTCAAGCATCTTGTATCCTCGTAATCGCGTATGTAACGAAATCGAACAAACATGTTCCCTCTGGCGTCTCTTCACGCACATGTGTATGTGTGTGTGTCTGCATGCCTGTCCCTAACCCTGACATCAACCCTCGTGACGCGAATCAGGCCCTACTAACGCCCTGCATTCATCCTTTAACATGACGTATTATTTATTGAATCCCTGAATGCAGTTCTGAAAAGGGGTTTAGAGAGTTGTGAAGCAGCAGATACAGGGTGAAGCTATGTTATGACATACCTATATGTCATGTGTATTTTCAATAAATCCTTGATAATAGCCGTATGGTAGAGTCCTGTTAGTGTTGATGTCTTTTAACTAACATGAATTAGGATTAGGAAATTTCACCCATTACGTTGTTTCTGGCCGATAGTTAAAACCATAGAAGTCGAAGTGATTGTTAGTGAGAACTCTCGATCGGAAAAAACTCTGCGAAATAAGTTTTTGAGGTTGTATTAACCAACTCTCTTGTTTATATTACATCGTTCACCGCGGAAATGCATCATTCGTTTCCTCTCTAATAAACGGGCTGTGACTATAAGGTATGTCAGTCACTGCTAGATTTTTCACAGGTACCAGCTTGAAGCTTTGGCCTTTTCCATTCCTGTATCTATAATATCTAAGGGTTAATCCGATTTTTGAACTGCCTAAGTTTAGTAGAACTAGGAAAAGTCTCTTTAGGTAGATTGTTCCATAATCTCGATACCCTAGAGACAAAGGAGCGATCGTATCGGCGAGTTCAGGATTTAAGACACGGATAGGATGGAAGGCCGAAGTCAGGCGGGTCTGTGTGGCAGGCACATCGCGCGACGGAATCATGGAGGGGAGCTCTGAGGAGCACAGCCCGTTGACATACCGGAAGAAGAGAGCTCGATTGCCAGCGGCCTTTCGGTGCGAAAGGGTCTCAGGACTGTCCATATTTTGTAACAAAATTATACACCACTGTGTGTGCATAATACTCTGTTTTCTGTCTATATGCTCTTTTTTGATAACTGTGCTGTTTTTTGTCTCCCAAGGCTGTTCTTTTCATTTTTCGAATCTTGGAGTCTCGCCTCCAAATGTTAGTAAACATATGCAGGCATGCTGTTTTATTTGGTCGCCAGAAAAACATGAAGATTTTCTGCATGAAAACTACAGGTCAAGTTTCAGGTATTGTACTTTATATACAATACATATACCGGTGATTCTTTTGATGGATAACCAAGCTTTCTTTAGGCATTCGTGTTCTCTTGTTGGAATTCAGATCACTAATGACATGATTTGGTGCAAATATAGCCTGGTAACTACAGCAGTTGATGTGAAGAAGATGGGCTCTTTGGAAATGTTTAAACCTAGTAAGTTATTATATTTAGCCATCTAACCTTCTCACTCTGTACAAGGTCTAGTTAAGAGCTAGTTTGGTGTGCTGCAACTTTGACTAAGCTGTCCATACTTAATGTGGTTCGACTAGTGGTCTGTGATTTGACTATTTTTTACTGATATACCAATGTACCTAGCTCGTCTAAGCTTTTCTACATAATACCGCAGAGGTTTAGTTGAATACGGCCGTTAGAGCTCTGTACATTTAGAGAACTGACTGGTACAACATCCCCGATGTACCATACAATGTTTACCTGTTTCATAATGGTGTCGGTAGCCCAGGTCATCAGGCCCTGCCTAGTATCAAAAAATGTTTAAATAGTGAACAACACATTCTCATTCAGCTAATTTATATTAAGCCACTCTGTATGTGTGGATTAAAGGGGTGGGTTAATACCGGTATTGGCGTGTACAGGGGTCGAACAGTGGGGTTAGTTTGGTTTACCTCCGCGGTGAAACCGACGATTTTTCAAGGTACATTTTGAGAACACGAAGCTTTTTTGTGTAGTAGACCCCGAAGGGAAATGTTTGTTGAAAGGACCAGCCGGTTCTCATAGTAACATCTTATTCCACAACGTAACGTGCGAAACTCTGAATAGGTACCAGACAGACTGCTTTTTGACATATATGTTTTCTGGAACAATGGATAATTATAGATAGACTTTAAATCACTTTATTAGTGCGACATTCTATGTAGCGCGAAGTGTGCTTTACATATCAGCAGCTGGTTATATATACATTTTTGGGCATTCGGATAAAGTGACCAGTATATGATTTCTAAGTACTGGCCTTGATCTGAAGTTCTTTTGTCCATTTTCAACCGTCATTACTCCAGATCCTGAAAATGGGCAATTTGAATCGCATGCAAATCCTACATGGTGATAAATAGTTAGATATCAGTGAATGTACAAATTATGTCTGGTAACATACGTTAGTCTTCAATATCTGAAGTCAGTAACTTTGGAGCAGATGTCGCGAGTTGAGTTCACCCTACATGAATGTAAGTAGGTAGTTCCTGATCTTACCATAAATGTAGGGATTCCATCTAAACTTTGGCCTTGACCATGAAAACTGTTGCATGCCTAATACTGTTGAGAAATACGAGTATGTAGCGGAAAACCGGCACGGTTATTACTTATCTTGAAAGTGACATTAGGTCGTTTTTTTGACATAACGTAGGTTTTTCTACATGATGTTCGTTTCTTTGGCACTAGCTAATGGACACGTGTTGTGAACTCGTTTTGTAGTTGTACGTGTTGCCTAAACGTCATGATGTCAGCTACCAATGTTTGGCTCTGATGTAATGTAACATCTGCTTGAGATATGGCATTATTGGAAGTCTGAACTATAAGTTGTATACTATAGCTAGAAGGAAACGGTAGTGCATAGGTGCATAGTGAGTATTTGTGGGCTAATAATATGTGTTGATGATAATTTCATTGGTTTCTTGTCTCAAATACACTTACTTGAGATTCAAAGCTAGAAATTAATTGCTTATCCACTTTTTCTTATTCATTCTGGAAATTACATAAATATGCAAATTTTCTGAATTTCAAAATGTGTGTTTGAATCAGTTGACAAAAAACAGACTTCAAATCATCCAAAATAACTGTACGTCTTATTCTTGGTTTGCGTTAATACGTCAGTGAAAAATATGCGGAACAGAACTGACTTTAGTCGGTTTTTTGACGTTTTTTAGTTTTTTTTACATAATATCCCTGTCAGATTTTAAATGGGAGAATCATTATGCCCTTTGAGCTGACAGAGTTCTTGAATGGCGAAATTTCGCTCGTCTGATAACCCAATCATTTTTATGTCAAGCTTGCATTGCTGCGGACGGAGGGCAGTTTAAACATTTATTGTGAATTTAATAAATATATTCACGAACTAATAAAAGTGCCGTTAATACCTGTCTTGCTGACACGACGTAGAATGGCATTGTCCGTCACTCCGTATAAGAAAAAAATGAAAGTTGTAATAACGGGAACTAAAGATCATCATAGGGTGTAGATTTTTTCCGATTTTTTTAAAGCCTATACTTTGAAAAATACACTACGTGTTTTTTGTATATTTTTTTTGGGCAACCCTGTATAGTGGAAGTTCACAAGGGAAACTTGAAAGTGAGAGCTGAAGTACGTTTTTTAGAGAAAAATATATGATGTCCACTCTGTCGCCCTTTTATCCGATCATAAATCTGCCTATGGCTGGGAATGTCGCTTTAATCATCTCCGCTAAAAATCAGTACCTAACGTTGGAGTAGAGAGTATGTATATAGTTGATTGGTAGTCAGATCGGCGTGGTCACATGTGCGCTCCGCGTCACATTTCATCGAATTTCACGGCCTACTGGCTCTTTTGTGCACGGCCACTGCCAACGACTGCCGCGTTTATCATGGCCACGCTCGATGGATATGCTGCTGCTCTATGCTGCCGCCCCTTCCGTCCCCGTATGCCGCCAGCCCAGCAGCAGAGACTGAATGTTTTTACAAAAAAATCGCAGCTGCTACATAGGCGACTTGTCATTGAGAATGTCGGGGTACTGCTTAGATTACCGAAAAATCAAATGTTACAATGACCAACTAGTGAGGTTAATCATTTTTAAAAGACGCACCCACCTGTATTTTGAGCTCTACACTTCCTAAACATTGAGCTAATAATCAAGGGTTTGTGTTTTGAAGTATGCTTTAAACATACAAAGCTAATAAAGCCTTCAAGAAAGGTGGAAATTCATATGCGATGCATTTGATGAATTAGAAACTATGATTGACCCCATACAATGATGTTCGTAACTATGCTCTTGTTAAAAACCCATGATCAAGCATACTCAAGTAATTGGACGTAAACTCAGTAAAAAATTATTCAGACAGTGGCGGCAATTTAAAAAAGTTCGTCTCTCTATGACGAACAGATTGTAGTTTTACATTATTGCTGTTTTTGTAGAATATGGAATTTCAAACTTATTTTTTACAAATGAAAAAAATGTTGTTCATCCCGTATCATTTGAAATGAAACTTTTACGGAACTTGTCACATGGACAAAATAGAACCACCGCTTGAAGGTTTGCCCCATGTTAACGAAGCGCCCTGTATATGATGGGTATCATTGGGCGCTTTGTTTCTCAGAGCTAGATCTTCAGCCACTTAAAACTATTGAGGAAGATACAGTCTACCCTATCAACTTATGTCTGATAAAAAATAGGGGCAGAACATAATCGTGGGGCATTGTTGAAGTGCGTGGAAAAAGGGTCCGAACATGTCATTTTGTATTTCATTAAACCTTTAAGGATAGTGCATAAACCTTTGACTTCTTCAAGAAACTCAATAATAGCAGAAAATAAATCGACGAACAATTTAGATGGACAGATATTCACCTTGCTTGTGTTATCAAAATTAAATTGCCCAAAGTGCCATCTATGAAAACAGCAAGCTGTCTGTTGAAACTGTACCCCAGTCCGCATTGTGAGCCGGGTAACCACTGTGGCCGCTAGATTCGCCGATGCTGGGCCTATAGTAGATACGATTAACTAGCCTCTGAATAGGTCGAAAATAGGAAATATGCAATTTTACCTGGATGATTTTAAAGTCGATTAGAATAGCAAGGTAATTATTCACTTTCTTCCTGCGTTATTATCTTACCTTTTTCTTAAAGCCCTAATCGGTGGACTATTTGGAGATATGATCCAGCGGAGTTTATCGTACATTAGTCACAGGCGCCCTCCGATTTTTGTAATGGATTCTAAATTGATAGAATAACTAAGCATTTCACAAAGCAAGTATTTCTCACATTTCATTGTTCACAACCCTTTCAAAAAGATCACCACCTAACATTATGAAGATACTTCTTTAAATGTAAGTATTTACTCGCTGCTGCAGCATCAGCTTAACTGAGGAATTATCTATTACTGAAAAATGTCTGGATTCTGGTTAAACATTGAGCTTATGGCCCAAAATTCTGGCTTCAGCAGCCTTTTTTCTCAGTTGAATAGTTGGGAAATTATTCTTGCTTGAATCATCAATCAGGAAACATGAATACTCTTATTTGGAGACGTAAGAATTTTACAAAAATCTTTATTTGTAAGAAATGCAAGATGCGATCGAATTGTCTTTATTCACCCAAGTGTGCATGCAATTTTTCAAAAAACCATATTCCCATAATAAAGGTGAAAGCAGCTGAAAACAAAGACTCCTAGTTTTAGATTTATGCTAGTACCGAGCTAGTTCGTATGTATAGTAGTCGCCACCGTTCTTGGCGGGTCAAAGTGAGACTACCAGTATCACTTTATATATCTTCATCTCCCTCAAACATACACACGCAACGTACTCCTGTGTGTAAACAATTGTTCGGTAAGCTCAAAGACAAACGTTTTTTAGTTGTGTGTCTCCGTCTCGAAAACTTTGTCGTTACGTATGAGTGCCCGTCAATCATATTTGTCAGACTTTCAACTTACTTGACATCAGCGTGCAATCCGTGTTGTCCTATTATCAATCTCCAATATAAAATTGTACAATGCCCAGAAATACGATCAATGGAGAAGGCTGACAGCTTGTGTTAAATTTATTATTCCAGGGACAGAATGAAAACAGCGGTCCCCTGTTACCCACTTCATGCGTACTGGAGAGAGTAGCAAATGCGCTGAAGATTAGTCTGAGCAGTGTTCCGCCCATAGTACGGAGACTGGATCTGTCTACTTATTTCATATGGCGTTGATGACGTAACCGCCAAGAACGGTGACTACAACTATACCTACTTATATTTTGGAAAGCAATCAGTGTCAATGCCAGTCTGCATTGCGTAGGACTTAATAGAATAGACTTATCAATCCACTTGGCGACATTTTTTAATGACATATTTGTGTAGGTGTAGCATTATTTGTTTCTGTGTAATTACCATTATATAAGTCTGCCACGTATTGGTATACATTTAAAAAAATACATGGGAACTTGGGAATCATACATCATGTGACCACCGATCCAAGGTGGCCACTTCCCTAAATGAGTGCAGACATTTTCAGAGCGTAACGCAAGGTCATGCACAGCAGACATATTTTCTTCGATTGTTGCTAAATTCTAATTCTTTAACGATATTGTTCATTCAGCTGAATAAATTGTCTGATAAAACAAAATTTGGATCTTGGGGATTACCAGGTTTATGAAAGTTTCTATACCAGCTTAGGAGAATATAGTCGAAAGATGGTAGTTATGAAATATGATTTTGAAAAAATAAATTCGTGTAAGTTTACGTGTTCCTGACTCACTCATTGATTTACGTGTATTACAGTCACTACTTACATACTTCTTATTATATGTTGTATGTTATTAGTGAATAAAAGTGGATGGAAACTTGAAACTGCTTGTTTTAATGAATGATTCCTACAGCGAATACACACTTTTTAAGTTACACTAAACAACTACACCCTGAATCTTGTAAACACTATTCGTCTTCGTTCCGTTTGTTATGGGTGAGTGGACGACACATTCCTCAGTGCTACTAGGAATCACAGGGGAGAGTATTATCAAATAAAATTGAAATGCTTCTCCCGTATTTTATTAGAGAATTTGTACAAAGATTATACTATTGGATTGTGGAAGAGCTTCACTAAATAAGAGCACCTAGAATTCTCGTATAACTTATTTGGTTTTTTGCAAATATAAAATAATCTGTAGAATATTTTTATCAAGAAATTAATTTTTGAAAACATTCTCTTATTTTTCATGAAAAGCTGTGCAAGATATACAGGTTGTGTATTTAGATAATTAACAAAATGCCGCTTAGAAAGTTTCGAAATTCAAAGTACTTCCGGAGAGAGACGAAAAAGCAAAATTTCCCAAAAACCACTTTAATTTTTTTCTGACTTTATTTATAGTGGGATTTCAAAATAAATTGCACTTTAACATTGCCACTTTGGTCTCTTGTCAGTATCAACTTTATTTTTTCTTATGAACACCATAGTGGATTTTCGCACAGATGAATAGAGTTCGTAACTCTGATTCCGAAAATGTAAATGCAGACGTTGACAAACCTCAGTTATTAAAAAAACAGAATTTCCTAGGTAGGCCTTGACATTATCAGATAGTCATTTGTTTCGCCTACCATATTTATCTCAAAATCACTTATTTTTTCTTGA